TGTGTGTGTGTGTGTGTGTGTGTGTGTGTGTGTGTGTGTGTGTGTGTGTGTGTGTGTAACCGATCTCCCACGGGGCCAAGGTTGATCTGAGGGTCATTGAGGAAGTCGCCATGGGAACACAAGCCCCGCCTTGGGTTTTGTTGCTGTAGCCAAAAGTACATATATCTGCTTCTATTTAGTCCAAACTGCATATTCTTAATGTGATATAAACAATCAAACTGTAGTGCACATATGTCATCCTGTTTTAATTTATTAAATGACAAAATCTTTTAAATGAAATTAGTTCTGATGATGCGTGAACAAAGTAAAGCGTTTTTACTGCAGATCAAGAAATATAGACTGGTTCGGACACATGAATCTAGTCTATTTTTTAACATGTTTCCCTTTAACAGCTGGTAAAGAAGCTCAATCACTGATTTGTTTTCTAGTTTAGCCAGAGATACATTCTCTAAAAAATGCAGCACAAACATTTAATGCTGCTAAGTCCTGGTTGTTTGATTTCAAAATGGGCAAAATGCTCCATTTTAGTACTAAACAAACAAATCCAAATACTTTACCACAATTAAAAAAACAATTTCCTGGAGGGCTTGACATTTCAGCTATGACCTCATCCATCACAGCTGTTTTCCAAAACACTCTGTGGGTGGTGGACGGCATCCTGTGCTCCATCCCACCCTCCTCAAATAAAAAAAAAAAACACTATTTAAAGAACATTTAATGGCACATTTAAACCTTCAGATGCATTTCTACCCTACGTTTAAAAAAATATCTWGTGCGAACAGTTTGGATGCGACCGTGGTGAACAGTTGGTGACAGAAGTTGTGGCTCACGAGCCATGCTGTTCTGTCAGCATGTGGTAAAAGCGACCCGGGCAGCGAAGAACTGAACCTATCCTTCTTTTTTCATTCTCTCTCTCTCTCTCTCTCTCTCTCTCTCTCTCTTTCCCATCTGTCCCTGTAGACTTAGACTGTATGTCTATGTAGTCATGACTTGATTAAAGCCTCTTATCGATCTGGTGCTGAAACAGGGTTTTCAGCACCATGGACAGAGTCACACTGAGACAAAAGGCTCTGTCCATGGTGCTGAATGCTATCTATCTATCTATCTATCTATCTATCTATCTATCTATCTATCTATCTATCTATCTATCTATCTATCTATCTATCTATCTATCTATCTATCTATCTATCTATCTATCTATCTATCTATCTATCGATCTATCTATCTATCTATCGATCTATCTATCTATCTGAGCAGGTTTAAGAGACGTTCAAAGCAGGATTTTGTCTGTTTACCTTCAGATACAGGAGGAATTCTCTGGGTCACATCTAGGGCAGCAGTGGCTCCTCGAAGTTAAACTTCCTTCTGGAATCAGTCACTTAAAACTCAGATCAATTACAAAAAAGTACTTTGATATTTAGTGGGGTGGGAAAAATCCCTATATTGTGTTAAAAAGTAAAGAACTAATTTCAAGTGCAGAATAAATCAACCCCACTAGCCTGATTGGATTCAGTTGTTGGGTGAGAAAAAAATGAAAATGCAAAATGTCCACCTTAGTTGTTCTTATTCCTCACTCCTCCTATTTGTTTGCAAAAGCAGAGACGCAGAAGGAAAAAAARGACAGAAAAATACTCCCAGTGTGAATAAAACGACTCCAGTAGGATGGGTGTTATCTCTGACAGATGTGTTGGAGGAAGTCAGGCAGCAGCACTCAGGTCCACGGAGTTAACACTCTGAAGATCTGGCGCTGTCCGCAGAAATCCAACCCTCCTACGCAAACATCCTCCTGCTCAGCAGCGCCTCGGCAACATGTGTGCTGGAGAGGAGGGGAAGAAATCTGTACAGGTGCCCCCACACGCACGCAAACGACCCCCTTTCCCACTGTCCAGTGGTCAGATGCTCCAGATTATCCCTGCTTCCTGTCCTTTCTCCTCGCTATTCCAGCATCAGCTCCTCCTCGCGCTCACCTCGGAGCGTGCGAGCTGTCGAAAAGCAGGCAGAGCGGTCGCGAAGCGCGATGTAGGCTCCGCGGGTTTGCTGCGTTTCCGCGTTCAGATCAGTGTTGTTTACAGATTCTTGAAGAACGAAACACGCTTTGAATCCAGGAGCGGCTGTCAGAGGCTGCGCGCGCGCAAAGCCTGAGAGATGGCGCCCTAAATCACACACACACACACACACACACACACACACACACACACACACACACACACACCAGCTTCAATCCATCCATCCCTTTTCTCCACATCAGCCCACGGGTTCCCTGCAGAATATTTGATAGAGAGCTGTGTCAAAGCACCACTTAGTTAAATAAATAAAACACAGCTCTTGTGACTGCGTTCACCTGTGACTCTCTAAAAACAACCCTCGCTTTCTGCTTTTCTGCCTTCCTCTCTGCGCCTGAAACGAGCCTCTGCATCCGTTTGTCCTTCAACTCGTCTTTCCTCTGACCTGCTGGGAAACAAACTACAGAGGGTGGACGAGAAAGACTCTAATTTACGCTCCGATGAGTGTGTGTGTGTGTGTGTGTGTGTGTGTGTGTGTGTGTGTGT